CTCGGACCCACAGTTAGATCTTCAAACCACACTGAGTGTTCAGGGAGCCCTGTGTGTCCCAGATGTACCTGTTCACCTTTTCAAATGACATCTTCTTCCCTACATGTGCACAGAAACCTGCAGGGACAGTCGATCTACAGAACTGAAGGAGGCTGGCCCATCCTCCTTTTTCTTCTCCGTAAGGGGCACTACATTGTATTTTTAATCTTTGATTAGGCTTAAATAAAGTACACAAGCTTCACTGTGAACTACTATTCTTGGACATTTTCCCTAAAGTATATTGTCATAGTATCAATTATGCTTAAAAATAGAGTGACATTTTAGAGTGCAATGCGCACCACCCGAAGGATGGACATATTTGAAACTCGGACTTAGTGGGGGGGGGGCGGAAAGGGCAACATACATAACCTAAACATCTGTACCCCCATAATATGTTGAAATAAAAAAAAATAGAGTGAAATTTTATGTGAATTTCTAAAAATAGAGTGATCCATAAGTAGGTATTCACCAGATTTCATATGTATTTATCAACACTTTATTCTGGGTCTTTTACAGGCTGCACAAGATTCTCATAGGCATGAAAACTATAGTGTGTTAAAGAAAATGTTGCTTACAATATCTCTGGCTCTTCAATTTTTTTCTTCTCAAAAATGTCTTTTGGTTGATCAAATTGATAACATTTGGTTTACTAAAGATGTTCTTGGAAAGAAGAATTTGTACACATCACTGATTTCTAAAGTATGTAAAATCCAATCCTCTTGGAGAGCAAATTTGAAGTATTATAATCGTCCTATTTATAGCTGGCAGAAGTAGATACAGAGCCAAGTTTTTCTTCGCTTGGAAGGTTGAGGTATTCCTGCGATAATCCGGAAAAGTTATACGCATTGAGGTGTCCCAGAAGAATGGATGATGTTATTTTTTGTTCTGAAAGTTAGGCATTCATCAATTTTTGCCTAGTGCTCTTTTGTAACATAATGAATGCAAATGTTTGGACATTTTAGAATCAATCTTAAGTTGTCCATCCCCCCTTCCCTCCCAAAGAGGAAACTATTAACCAGAGTAAAAATATTGGATATTCAAGTAATTTCTCCTTATTTCTAAATCCTATTTGTGATTCTTAAATATCAATGAAAATTATTGCCCTTTCATCCAATGGATTTAGAAATTTGATTAGGTCCCAGTAAGTTGGTATTATGGTACTTTTCTTCACATCAATATTCGTGTAAGATTTTAATGTTTATTTGAAAAGCAAAGATTTCGTGTTCCATGTTTGCCTTTAAGAAGTCATAAACTACAGAGTTCCCAAACAAATCAATGAGTAAAAAAATATTAAACCATAGCAATAAAGATTTCTGAAAAAATTATAGCAACTCAATGATATTCTTTCTTATATATAATGCACTGCATTGGAATGTCCTTTTTAGTTAATTCACAGGATAGCAACAATTCTATGTAAAAATGAAACAATTTTGAAATCTCCTCGGAAAACATTAGAGCAAGACTGAGTTTAAAAAATAAATCAATCTTTAATGAGACTTACGAGCTAACTCTTTAGCCATTAAATACTGGACCTCTTCCATCTGTAACTGAGAATTCTAGATTGTTGGCCTTATTTTACAAGATGAGTGTATGATCAAATGTCTACTGTGAATTCCTGGGAAGTTATTGATTGTTAAAGTTCTATCATGTGATTTAAATGTATTTAAAAAAGAATCCTGTGTGAGTAGATACAGTATCCATCCACTCACTAATGTGCATAGTGTTTAGCAAAGGCATTGGTATTGCTAAATAAATAAATGAATTAATTAAAATGTTGACGTGATGCTTTATGAACTGTCTGCTACAGAAAGTCCAAGCTATTCCGGGTCAGTGATGCAATATAATTGGGCTTGGGGGTAGGTGGGAGGGTAGAGGACCTGAGTTCAAACACAAGCTGGGCCACTGACTCCTTCACCCACTCTGTGAATTTAGGCAAGTTACTTAACTTGTCAGGGCCATGGCTTTCCCTTCTAGAAGCTGAAAGCGTTGTGTTGAATGTACTAAGTGACCTCTGACTTCTCTGGGTTCAAATGTCCTTCATCTTATCTTAAGAAAGCTCTTCTATTTCTAGTTGGAAAAAGGTCTCAGTGGCCTGACAACCTGGGGCTACCCTTGCAGCCAGTCTTGGGAAATGTTCTTTTTCTCAACAAAATATACTCCTAGTTCAGTTACTTTTAGTATCGTACCGGGAAAGGGATTTTACCAGAAAATAATCTGCAGTTTAAGGCATGTTAATAGAAACAGTTACAAGTACAAACAAAAGACACACAAACACAATCTAGCACTGTGTAGCTTAAAACCCAGTTTTTACTTAAAATATTTTTCTTTCTGGATATCTCTATCCAGTCCCTTAAGTCCAACCTCTTCTTAGGCTGGTTTCTTCCCTCCCATCCTCTCCCCTCCTTTCTCTTTCCTTTCCATTCCCTTTCTATCTCCGTTCCCCTCTGACTCTCTGAAAAATGTGTGTTAATCACTTTTTTTCCAGCCAATCTGTAAAATTTAGTTTCCCTAAATCTCTGTTAAGAGGTCTAGCAGTTTGTCCAGGATAAGCTGTGTGCCTGTGGAGTGCTTTGAGCACCTCTTTCGGTATATCCACCTATTTGGGTACCCGGCTCTTATGGAACTGGCTTTACTTCTCTCTCCTAACTCCTGTTTTTATGATTCTCACCACCCGCCCCCCGCCCATCCCATCTTCTCTCGCATTCTTTATACTCCTGGATTTTTCAGGTGAGGATGGTCTCATAATCTTGGTAGCCAAGTCTAGTCTGAGCCTTTCCAAATAGTCATTTTAACATAGATGTTATGCTTAAATACAGATCATTTGGAAAATCAAAGTTGCAGATGCTCTGAGAAACTGAGAAAGAGAGAGAATTGAGAAGAGTTCTCTCTTTACCCATGTAGTTTATTTCTTTATATCATACAGACCCTCAGCTTCCTTCTTTTGGTATTTTCTAGCTTTTTAGGAGTTTCATCCTCTTTGCTTCATATTCTTAAAGAAAAAACAAGGCTCTATGATTTTAGCTTTCTTGAGTCACTAGAGGGTCTTTCCTGCATATGTGCCTGCTCTGAAATAATTGGTTTGTCTCTTTTCACAAGGAGTAGTATTTGGAATCAATGCCCACGTGCAGGTGTCCTATCATATAAGCTGGTGCTTCATTCAGAAAACCCAAGATAGAGTAAAATAAATTACCGACATCTTGGCTCCATGCTCCATTCACAACTGTTAATTTTACAGGGTTATGCTTCCATCTCTGAGCAGAGAGCTCCTGGCAGGGACAGCTGCTCCCGTGCCCCAGATTGTGCTGTGTTCATCCCAGTAGGAGTCGTCAAAAGCAGCAGGAGAGCAGGAAGGTGGCAGTGCATCAGAGAGCTGAGCAGGACTGTAGCATGGCACTGGGAGGAGGGAGCAGGATGGGTCTCTCCAAAGTGCTTTTCACTTCCTCCTTCAATCTTTGCATGGATATGTGCAGGATTAACTGGGGAAGAAGAAAAAGTCGATTCTACTGAGAAAGTTGTCAATACTGCTTTTACTCTTATATGTAGCTTGTTTTCAAAATACCTTTGTGTATCCACTAGCATGGTGATGGACCTAACCAACAATAGGCCTGTATGCTTGTCCAGAGAATGTCAAAGGGGGCTACATCATGACTAGTGGGATCTGGGTCACTGGGGCAGAGCTGGCATGACAGGTGAAAAGCATATTTCGAGTCGGTCTGCTGTGGCTTCCCTCCTGAATTGGAGCAAAGGCCAAGGCCGATGCCAAGATTCTAACCAAGCACAGGACTTGGTACATGGTAAACACTGTTTCACTGATGGTCTTTTGAAGGAAAGTTGCTGCATTGTTCAATGCTGTATTTCCCCAGTGCTTAGAACAATGTTCACAAAAGTTAACAGAAGTTAAATGCTTAAAAGTTAAATGAAGGAAAAAAATGGAGACTACCAGTACACATATTGAGGCATCAGGGTAAGCAATGGAGCTGTATAGAATTTTATGTACTTGCTGATACATTTCTTTCCATGAGTATACCTTCTATTCATGTCCTCTGATTTAATTTCCACTTGGAAAAAAGTCATTTGCAGCATATATTATGCTGTAAATGTTGCCATCAAAAGGTAAAATTTCTAGGTTCTTGTCTTTAGTACTAGTATGGCTCTACTCATGATAATATAAAACAAATTTTAGGTTTAAATTGCTTTGGGAATGAGAAATTCTGACTCAGTGAACATATGCCACTTTTGAAAAAGTGAAAATAATGTTTCTCATTCTTCTTCTTAACTCAAGAATAATGACCGTTTTGTTTATTCAAATTTTGAAGGTATAGTATGTTTAAGACTGATGCCAGACCATATACAGGAGAAAGTTAGATAATCATTTTGTGATCAGCATTCTGGGTTGTCACATTCTGAACAAATCCCTGGAACTCATTTACATTTTGCATAAAATTCTCATGGGGTTTATTGTCTAAACCTTTACCATACTCTCTACCTTGAATCTATTAATTTCCTGATCAGATGTGAAATTTGGGGGGTAAAAATAGATTTGCATTTTTTCTCAACCATAAAGTTTCATACACAGTCCCTCTCAGAAACCCTGAAAACCCAGTATCTTTCAGAGCCATTTGATTAAAACCTAGAGTGAATGTGATTTGAATTGTCAAAGTACATCTAAAAAAAGGCTGGTTTAAGTTTGGCGGTGGAGCAACACTGAGCTGGGGAAAGGAGTACATATAAAATAATGCAGGTGATTCTGGAATATCCAAAGGACATTAGTTTTCCCATAAAATACTGTGGGAGAGAGAGGAGGCTTGATTTGAACTTGCAGGTTACTGTTGATTCCTTAACTTCCCAAATAGTGCATGACACAAAATAAATCACTCAATAAATGTTCATTGAGTGTTGTGAGTTGAAGGAGAAGAACATCACATGAGCTCTCCCTTTTTCCCCCTCTTTTCTCCACTAAGGTTGAAAAGAATGATGAAGACCAAAAGATTGAACAAGATGGTATCAAACCAGAAGATAAAGCTCATAAGGCCGCGACCAAAATTCAGGCTAGCTTCCGTGGACACATAACGAGGAAAAAGCTCAAAGGAGAGAAGAAGGGTGATGCCCAAGCCGCTGAGGCTGAAGCGAATGAGAAGAAGGATGAAGCCCCTGTTGCTGACGGGGCGGAGAAGAAGGGAGAAGGCGCTGCTACCACGGAGGCGGCCCCCGCCACTGGCCCCAAGCCCGATGAGACCGGCAAGGCAGGAGAAGCTCCTTCCGAGGAGAAGAAGGGGGAGGGTACCCCCGATGCTGCCACAGAGCACGCAGCCCACCAGGCTCCTGCACCCTCAGAGGAGAAGGCCGGCTCAGCTGAGACAGAAAGTGCCACTAAAGCTTCCACTGATAACTCGCCGTCCTCCAAGGCGGAAGATGCCCCAGCCAAGGAGGAGCCTAAACAAGCCGATGTGCCTGCTGCTGTCACTGCTGCTGCTGCCACCACCCCTGCTGCAGAGGATGCTGCTGCCAAGGCAACAGCCCAGCCTCCCACGGAGACTGCAGAGAGCAGCCAAGCTGAAGAGAAGATAGGTGAGCACCCGCGAGGGCCACATGCAGTGGGTGCATGGGTCTGTTCAGAAGGTCATCCAGGGAGAGAGGAGAAAAGTTAGAAGGTGGTTTCTGGAAGTCAAGGGAAGTCATGCTTAAGTCCCCAAAGTGGCAGGACTAAGAGCTAAGGTTACCTTCCCAAATATCTCTAAGCCTGAGAGGTAACTCAGACAGGTCTATGTGGCCGCCCATACTAGAGAGATCTGGCAATTATCTTAAGTAGATGGATATATACAGGCAAACTTGGTTAAAAATATTCTGTGTGCTGATAGACTTAGTTTAATAAGTAATTGCCGAGGCTACATATATTTTATGGGTGAGAGTTAGCTAATGTGATTATCTGACTCCAGGAAGTGTCTGGTCTAAATACAGCCAACTTCTTATTAATCCAGATTACCTAGTGTGTTAATTGCTGGCAGCCAAAACATAATCTCATATCACCTTTCCCTATCCCACAATATGTTTCTGGGCATTCTCCCCACCATCAGTTGGTGAGTTGTGTATGTGTGTCTCTGTGTGTGTGTGTGTGTGTGTGTGTGTGTGTGTGAGTGTGTGTGTGCGTGCATGCTCTCTCAGAGAATGTTAATTGTAATGTTAATTGGGGTCAAACATAATTAGGAAAATAAGCCTGTTGATGTTGCCAAGAACACAAGGAAACCCCAAATCAGAATGTGTTGTGAAGTCAAACATAAATTATCATTTTATTATTGAAGACACTACTTTCTATCATATTCATAAATAATTGAGAGTTGATTATGATTACAGAAAGGTACTGGATTCTATTCAGTTTGGAGCTGTAACTTGGAAGTTGGAATGTTTTCACTATTATTGCCCAAAGAGCCTATGCAGAATTGGAACAGAACATTTGCAGAGCAAGATAAATTTACCAGACCTTCACCCCTGGGAACTAGATCTAAACCTCACCCCAGCACCACCACGGTGGTAAAGGTGGCCGACAGTCTCCGGGATCCTTCTCTAATCTAACACGATCCATGAACACTTTCCAACCAAGATCCTCAAGGATGAAGTTACTTCTGTGCCAGTTTAAAAGGCTGGTTTACTCTTTTATAACCCCTTGGATTTAACCAGTGATGTGTCCGAATGTGGACTGGACCACAGTGTTCTCCTTGGGAGAAGATCTACTCCATGAGAGTGGTCTGAGAAACGTTTTGGCATCTGGCCATCATATTAAGAAAGTAATTATTGGACATTTGCCTTGATATCCATTTCTCCAAAATTAGATACTACAGTATGGCAGATGACCATTTTAGATAGGTCTACTTCTTTATCTTATCCTTAAAATTCTGTAAGATGCCAGATTATATAAATTATCATTGTTGTTAGCATAGTCTAGTTCCAGGTAAATCATGTGCTTCTTTCTATCAGTGATTCATTTCAAATCATTATTCTAACTACATACTCGCCCCAGGGGTCAGAACTTGAGGTTAAGAAGATGGGAATTTTTCCCTGGAAAAGGTAAGGTATGTGATAAAAAATGGGGTATGGGTTTTAATTTACTCAGTGAAGCAAACTCCGTTAACTATTTTTCTTTAGATTTAAGGTTTGAGCCTCAGATACAATGCCTGAAAATCACCTTGCATATAGACAGACTACCTGTTGTGTTATTTTCATAAATCTTAGAAATTAATCCTACTTCTAATACAGAAAATATCTGATATTACTTGGATCTAGTTTTAAAATTCGGATTTCTAAAGTTGTAAGTATAGACACAAAGACATGATGTGATTTTAAGTTTATACTCATTATTTGGATTAATAGAAAGAAGGACTTCTTGAATCAATGAAAAGTCTAATATGTATTTTTAAAGAAATTGTGTTATTATTTTTCCAAGTTATGATAACTCCAAATGTATTAACGAAATATTTTATGTAGGTAAGTGTTTAAATATTGAATGGAAACTGACTAAATTTAAATTATAGATAATAATTTGTTCACTCATTCATATATTCCTCAACTTTGCTTACTCCATTTATTTGATTAAAATTGTGTTTAGTCAGTAAAAGCAAATAGAGATCATGCTCTGCCCTAAATTTTATAAATTCTGATTGAAAAATGTCTTAATCAGATTTTATTGTGTGCATTGAGAGGTGATTGAAAGTGTAGGTGAAGTTAAACTTGAAGATAATCACAAAGGGCAATTTATCTTACAATGTTTCTTAGATTTGTGCAGGTATTGTCCTCTTGGTTAGTTTCTGAAATGCTGCCTGTAGCTTCTTTCTGGACTGAGGGATCTATTAGCCTTGCCTGCTGCATGTGACAAGCACAAATTACCCAGCTGTGATGAATCTCATGGAATCACAGAAACTGAAGGTGACAAGGAGATCTATCATATCATACCAGGACCAAATTCCCAGGGGCTCTGTACTGCATTTCCTCTGTCTTCCCTTGGATTTCATTCTAGTCTGGGTTAAAACAGCAGTATTTTCAACTGGGCTGTACCATTAGGAAATGGATGGCTACCATGGGTTGCTTTAGAATTCTATGGCTGCCTGGAGAGGCACAGAGACACAGTCTAAGAGGGCACAATTGGGGTGGGGTACAAAAATTAGTCAAAAAAGAAAATCTAAGAAAATAATTTCTGTCAGTAAAAGAGTCAGGCTGTGTGTGGTGGCTCATGCCTGTAATCCTAGCACTTTGGGAAGCAGAGACAGGAGGATCTTTTGAGGCCAGGAGTTTGAGACCAGCCTGAGCAACATAGTGAGACACTGTCTCTACAAAAAATCAGATTAGCTGGGCTTGGTGGTACAGGCCTGTAGTCCCAGCTACTCAGCGGGCTGAGGCAGAAGGATCACTTGAGCTCAGGAGCTTGAGGTTGCAGTGAGATATGATGATGCCACTGCACTCTAGCCCCGGCAACAGACAGAGACTGTGTCTCAAAAATAAAAAGGGTCAAAATTTATATCAAATATGATCATTGCTTTGATACATATGGAAATATTTTATAAATTATAAATGTTATTTATTTTATTTCTTTTACTACTTATGGATTTGTTACAGGTGGATGCCATTTGCATTAGGACCTTTGAAGTTGACTATTTTTTTCCTTTTTATTTTTCTTTTTTAATCATCCAACTATATCTCCCTCTCCCTGCTTTGCTAGTTTGCCTGCCCAGCTTTTTATGTGCCTGTGACCAAAACATTTCAGTGCATTCCTGAATGATGGCTCCTTTACAGGAAGAAGGATGTTGAAAACATTGCTCCGTTCAGCCCTGAGGAGAGGGGTTTTCTACAGAGAGTGTCAATGTGTTCATTGACTCTCAGTGAAAGAATTCTCTCTCTGTTATGTCTCCTGTTCTCCATGGTAGCCTATTGACTTTCCCCAATAGAGGAGTCCAAAATTTCTGCTGTGGCCATATTCAGTGATGTAGTGGTACCAAGGTAACCTGTCCAGGCGGCTATCAATACGTGATATTGGTTGGGTGGCTACCACAGGGTACGTGACTGATGCTAGTCAGAAATGTAACTCTGAGTCACTCTAAGATGTTCTGTAGGTTGATCCTGGCTACATTTTATTTCCATGGTCTCATATGTCTTTCAAATTGGGATCATCAATAATGATCTGGAAAGGAGGGGAGTTTCCTTTTGTCATTCTCTGTTCAAATAGAAAAATTGACTTGGTGTCTCCCTACCTCTCTCCCTCCTCCCTTTTCTCCTTCCTGCCTCCCTCCCTCCCTCCCTCACTCTCTTCCTCTCTCTTTCTCCCATTCTTCTATTCTTCCTTCCTTTCCCCCTTCCTTTTATATTATCTTTCTGCTGTGCTAGGCATTGGGATCACAAAGATGAGTAAGATATAGTCCTTTGGCCTTAAGGAATTCTCATTTGGTAGTGAGGGTGGGATGAAATTCACAGAGTAGTGTTGAAAACAATCACATTAATTGTAATTAAATTCTACAAATAGGTATGGAGTACTTCTGTATGCCAGCATGCTTTGGGACAAAATATGGATGAGATAATGCTTCAGGGGCCAAGATACAGTATGATGCATGCTATGAAAAGTTTTATATAATGTATGTCTTGATAGTCAAGCTATTAGCCATAAATATAAATGCAAAATTTATAATTTCCAGAATGATAACTATGTGTAAGAAAATGAATACTCAGCCCACATTTCTGGATTTGGGAAAATTGTTTATGTTTCCCAGAACAATATTTTCCCTAAGGCCCAAGGTAGCCATCCACTTTTTAGCTTTCCAGAAGATGGATCCACTTCCCCTGAGACGTGTGCTGGATGTGAGATTTCCCGAGAATATTTACACTTATTTGACAGGGTGCCTCATAAGCAGTTTTGATTTGAAATGTGGTTTCAACCACTTCCCAAATTTATACACAACTCATAAAGAGTGAAAATCTTGGTTGTGAAGGTCCATAAATGCTGTTTATAAGACATGTGCACCCTGTCAGATACTCAGTCATATGCCTCTTGAGTGCTGTTGATTATTAAGCTTTTATGGAGCCGTTTTATATTGTGAGAGTGATGATTTTTATTGGCTTTTCTTGACCAAGAACAAATGGCATTTGATAATATTTCTCTATGCTTACACTGCAAGAATAGGGGCAAAGTAAATGGGTCTTCTGCCCACAGACAGAGTCAGTGAGGAAATGGATCAAATTAGGAGACCTTTAAATCTCACCTTCACTTTAGCCCTATGATTCTTTACCTCTCTTTTAAGATGTTATGTTTTATCTCCATTTCTATATTTTCTCTGTATCTTAGCAGTGTGACAATCTGATTTTATTGGGAAATACCTACCAGGACATTCCTAGGGCATTCTCTGTCCTTCCTGCCCTGTAAGATAATGCAGGGAAAAGAACATTGAACTGAACTAAAGAGAAGAGGAGTTCTAGTCTCAATATTTCTACCAAACAGCTGTGAGATCTTAGACGAGTTATTGCTTCTCTTGGCCTCAGTTGTCTCATCCTTAAGTAGAAGGCCTAGGATAGTTGACTTTTTAGGTTTTTTT